AACTCTCTACCCCAATTTATCAGACTATCGCCTACTCTGCTCACTTTTAGGCGATCTCTGAAAACTGATCTCTTCAGGGAAGCCTATCCTGCCCTCAGCTAATAATGGAATCTTCTATTCCTTCTACTAGTCCATCCCCCACAGTTATTACCTTTTGTACCACTAGCCCCTCCCTCTTAGATTGTAAGCTCCCAGGATCAGGGCCCTCCTATCCCTCTTGTATTGAACTGTATTGTTGCTGTATTGTCTCCCGTTATATTGTACAGCGCTGAGCAAACTGTTGGCGATATATAAATCCTGTATAATAATAATATAAATCCTGTATAATAATAATAATATATAAATCCTGTATAATAATAATAATATAAATCCCGTATAATAATAATATATAAATCCTGTATAATAATAATATATATATAAATCCTGTATAATAATAATATATAAATCCTGTATAATAATAATAATAATATATAAATCCTGTATAATAATAATATATATATAAATCCTGTATAATAATAATAATATATATATAAATCCTGTATAATAATAATATATATATAAATCCTGTATAATAATAATAATAATATAAATCCTGTATAATAATAATATATATATAAATCCTGTATAATAATAATAATATATATATAAATCCTGTATAATAATAATAATAATATAAATCCTGTATAATAATAATAATAATAATATAAATCCTGTATAATAATAATATATATATAAATCCTGTATAATAATAATATATAAATCCTGTATAATAATAATAATAATATATAAATCCTGTATAATAATAAATATATATATAAATCCTGTATAATAATAATAATATATATATAAATCCTGTATAATAATAATATATATATAAATCCTGTATAATAATAATATATAAATCCCGTATAATAATAATATATAAATCCTGTATAATAATAATATATATATAAATCCTGTATAATAATACTGGAGATTATTCTGCATACTGATTCCTTAACAAACTGCGCTTACTGACGGGTGATATACGAAGTGTCCGGTAAGGGGCCGATTTTTCCCAGGTGTATGGTGACGGTTTATGGGATCAAGATTTCTATCCTGTATTTCATTTCATCTGTTTGACGATCTATATGGACTTTATTTTAGACATTATTATATTTTTTAATTAGCTCTGCATTTTTTCTGTTTATTTTTTTTTTATTGCATCTGGTGTCAGTTTTGTGTGTGCACCGAGGAGCAAGAAGGAAAATATAAAAATAAATACAGAGGGATGATTTACTAAAACTACATGGTGCAAAATCTGGGGCAGCTCTGCATGGAAACCAATCAGCTTCCAGGTTGTATTGTCAAAGCTTCATTGAACAAGCTGAGTTAGAAGCCGATTGGCTCCTATGCACAGCCGCCCCAGATTTTGCACTGTCCAGTTTTAGTAAATCAGCCCCCATTGTGGTCACATTATGCCTTTTAACATCAGCCTACCAAAAGGAAATCATTGATATCAGCACTGAGGAAGATGGGACCCCCAGACCTGACCGCAGGAAGGTAGCACAGCGGGGAGTTCATACAATGAGCCGAAGAACAAACACCGATACAATCTAATCTGATGGAAGCCTTCTTCCTCTGACAGCAAAGCGGGTATTCTGTGCAAAGTGAAGCTTTACCTCATTTACTAATCTCTGCAGCAGCTTGCAGAGTGCACCGTCTATTTGCCTTTAGTAAATCAACCCCATGATTATCCAAACGCCTTGTGCGTTAAAAAAAAAAAAGTCCCTACATGCTGCATCTTTGATGCGCTTTCGTCAAAACACACATTCTATAGCGTTCAATGGTAATGGGCCTTAAATACAACGCACCAAAAAGAATGTGAACTGGCCTTAAAGTAATAGGGCTCATTCACACTAGTGGTTGAGGGCCGGGAAATCCCCTGTGGTTGAGCTGTGTTTTTACCGCTACCCACACCAGTAGCATGCACACATGACACCAGTAATATGCACGTATCTCACCAGTAGCATGCACGTATTGCACCAGTAGCATGCACGTATTGCACCAGTAGCATGCACGTATTGCACCAGTAGTATGCACACATGACACCAGTAGCATGCACGTATCGCACCAGTAGCATGCACGTATCGCACCAGTAGCATGCACGTATCGCACCAGTAGCATGCACGTATCGCACCAGTAGCATGCACGTATGACACCAGTAGCATGCACGTATGACACCAGTAGTATGCACACATGACACCAGTAGTATGCACACATGACACCAGTAGTATGCACACATGACACCAGTAGCATGCACGTATCGCACCAGTAGCATGCACGTATCGCACCAGTAGCATGCACGTATCGCACCAGTAGCATGCACGTATGACACCAGTAGCATGCACGTATGACACCAGTAGCATGCACGTATGACACCAGTAGCATGCACGTATCGCACCAGTAGCATGCACGTATCGCACCAGTAGCATGCACATATCACAACAGTAGCATGCACGTATCGCACCAGTAGTATGCACGTATGACACCAGTAGCATGCACGTATGACACCAGTAGCATGCACGTATCGCACCAGTAGCATGCACGTATCGCACCAGTAGCATGCACGTATCGCACCAGTAGCATGCACGTATCGCACCAGTAGCATGCACGTATGACACCAGTAGCATGCACGTATGACACCAGTAGCATGCACGTATGACACCAGTAGCATGCACGTATGACACCAGTAGCATGCACGTATGACACCAGTAGCATGCACGTATGACACCAGTAGCATGCACATATCGCACCAGTAGCATGCACGTATCGCACCAGTAGCATGCACGTATGACACCAGTAGCATGCACGTATGACACCAGTAGCATGCACGTATCGCACCAGTAGCATGCACGTATCGCACCAGTAGCATGCACGTATCGCACCAGTAGCATGCACGTATGACACCGGTAGCATGCACGTATCGCACCGGTAGCATGCACGTATGACACCGGTAGCATGCACGTATGACACCGGTAGCATGCACGTATGACACCGGTAGCATGCACGTATGACACCGGTAGCATGCACGTATGACACCGGTAGCATGCACGTATGACACCGGTAGCATGCACGTATGACACCAGTAGCATGCACGTATGACACCAGTAGCATGCACGTATGACACCAGTAGCATGCACGTATGACACCAGTAGTATGCACGTATGACACCAGTAGTATGCACATATCACACCAGTAGTATGCACACATGACACCAGTAGTATGCAGGTATGACACCAGTAGAATGCACACATGACACCAGTAGTATGCACACGACACCAGTAATATGCACAGATGACACCAGTAGTATGCACACATGACACCAGTAGTATGCACACGACACCAGTAATATGCACAGATGACACCAGTAGTATGCACACATGACACCAGTAGTATGCACATATCACACCTGTAGTATGCACACATGACACCAGTAGTATGCACATATCACACCTGTAGTATGCACACATGACACCAGTAGTATGCACATATCACACCTGTAGTATGTACACATGACACCAGTAGTATGCTGCTGCTTTGCAATGCCAAAGTGCATTGGGGGGGGGTTTACTAAAACTGGGGAAACTCAGAATCTGGGGCGGCTGTGCATGGCAGCCAATCAGCTTCTAACTTCAGCTTGTTCTATTAAGCTTTGGCAATAAATCCTGGAGGCTGCTCGGTTACTATGCACAGCTGCACCCTCCAGTTTTAGTAAATCTCCCCTATAATTTTCACTTTGTTCGGAATTTCTCAGCAGTCATCGTCCTTATATGAGGTGTATTTTCTAGGATAGGCACGCTATGCCTGTAGAAGCCCCCCCCCCACTCCGGCTCTGCTGCCTAATAAAAGTGAAGAAAATGAATTGAAATAAAAAATAGTGTGGTGGTACTTACGCCTCATACATGTCAGGAAGCGGGACCAGATCAGGAGGAGGGTGCTTTGGTTCTTCTCTTTCGGGATGTAGGAATAGGCCTCGCTCTCCGTCATCTCACTCTCAGCATTGCTCTCCCCCCTCTTCTCCTTCCTCTCCGGCAACTCCACCATCTCTGTCTTTAGCTCCATCCCATTGGGCTCCTCCAACTTGACTTGAGTCATGGTGGCCGTACAGAACTCTGGAATGCGGCTTTGCTCATCCTTATATACCCAGATATCTAGATTGCAGCCACACCTGCCAGCCCTGCCCAGCACAGTCCAGGAATGAGAGACACCGAGTGTGTGTGCAATCACAACACTGATTGTTTGTGATCAGTATGTACTCCAGGAAGGGGGGTTAGAAGATAAGGACTCATCTGGAAGTGAGAATTCCAGCAAACTCTGTAGAGGTGCCAAAGCCTTGTTTCCTCTCAGGTCATTAATAGGGAATTCAGTTGTTTAAAATTGTCTCAAAGTAAATCTTATTTTATTTAATGAAACTTCCTTTGTGTTTAGATTAGAGATGATTATGACATAGAAAGTACCTGTTAGTGCTACATAGTGGTTGTGTTTCACTGTTCCTCCCTGTGACAGTGGAAGACTGGCGAGGTGCCTCTTTAGTGTTGCATCTGTCCAGCTCCACCATTGCTGATGTACAGAGAGCTGCTGCTGCTGCAACCTTTCGCAACAGGGTTCCTCCAGAGATTGCTAGGTTGGTAGGGGTTATTTCAGTGTGGATCCATTTTTGCCTCTCAGATAAGTCAACACTGACACCAATGATCTTTTTAGCTATGATTAATGGGGGCATTCTGGAACACCAATGTAAAGAGCATTGTTCCTATTGACCACCAAAGTAAGGAACATACTGGCTACTAATAGAAGGGGCATTGTTCCCACTGACCCCCAATGTAAGGGGCATTCTTCCCACTGATCCCCCAATGTAAGGGACATTCTTCCCACTGACCCCCAATGTAAGGGACATTCTTCCCACTGATCCCCCAATGTAAGGGACATTCTTCCCACCGACCACCAATGTAAGGGGCATTCTTCACACTGATCACCAATGTAAGGGACATTCTTCCCACTGATCACCAATGTAAGGGACATTCTTCCCACTGACCCCCAATGTAAGGGACATTCTTCACACTGATCACCAATGTAAGGGGCATTCTTCACACTGACCCCCAATGTAAGGGGCATTCTTCACACTGACCCCCAATGTAAGGGACATTCTTCACACTGATCACCAATGTAAGGGGCATTCTTCACACTGACCCCCAATGTAAGGGACATTCTTCCCACTGACCCCCAATGTAAGGGACATTCTTCCCACTGACCCCCAATGTAAGGGACATTCTTCCCACTGACCCCCAATGTAAGGGGCATTCTTCCCACTGATCACCCAATGTAAGGGACATTCTTCCCACTGACCCCCAATGTAAGGGGCATTCTTCCCACTGATCCCCCAATGTAAGGGACATTCTTCCCACTGACCCCCAATGTAAGGGACATTCTTCCCACTGACCTCCAATGTAAGGGACATTCTGCCCACTGATCACCAATGTAAGGGCCATTCTTCTCACTGACCCCCAATGTAAGGGACATTCTTCCCACTGACCGCCAATGTAAGGGACATTCTTCCCACTGACCCCCAATGTAAGGGACATTCTTCCCACTGACCCCCAGTGTAAGGGACATTCTTCCCACTGACCCCCAATGTAAGGGACATTCTTCCCACTGATCACCAATGTAAGGGACATTCTTCCCACTGATCACCAATGTAAGGGACATTCTTCCCACTGATCACCAATGTAAGGGACATTCTTCCCACTGATCACCAATGTAAGGGACATTCTTCCCACTGATCACCAATGTAAGGGACATTCTTCCCAATTTTTCTTTATTAAAAGTCTCGCAATCAATAAACATAAAATATTATACAGAATATAAAACAATTATATATATTTACAGCAAAACTAAAATAAATATAGCAAATTCTGCTGTCAGACAAAAGCAAATGTCTCAGAAATGAACATGACATAATTGGGGAAATAAATCGTACTACCACTCACATCACTACACCAGACATCAAACCTGTGAGGTCAAGAAACCACCCCGCCCCCCTTATGCATGCAGCCCTTCTTCAAAAAAGATCTTAATCAACAAAAACTACGGGAGTGAAAAGAACAGTATAAGGAAAGAGCCCCTCACCCAGAGATGGACAGTTCACCAAAGGCAGGTCTGATATTCCTCCACGCCCTTATCCAGACCGCCCGAGGCTCTCTGCCCCTCTCAAGACCCCGAATCTTCCCAACCTCACCCAGAATATCGTGCACCACCACCTCTACAGGGAGGACTTTCTTCCGCAGGGTAATCTGACACCGTGCGTTCCATGTGAAGTAACGAACAACTATACTAACTAGAAAAAGTGTATCCAAATCAAAGTCCCAGTGAGCTGGGAATGCCCCGTACACCCACTCTGCATAACTCATGCGATAGAGAAAGGGGATGCCCAGAACCCTCCCCACCCTTTTATACACCTCTATGTTAAAAGGGACACAGGAGCAGAAAGTGGTCCATAGACTCCACTTTACAACACACACTCTGCTCTAGGACAATCCCGATCATCCACAGGGCGGTGCTTCAGGTTCCCTCTCACATAGAGCCTTCCATGGAAAGCGAGCCAGGCTTGATCCCTAAACTTCAAAGGGATTCTCTCCAAGTTAATTAAACGCAATCCCTCCCTCATTACGGAGCCTGGGCAATCCTTTAAGGCCAGTGACACACTGAAAGCAGAAGCCAAAATCCTCTCCCCCAGAAACTTCCTGGGAAGGGACCTGATATCCTCCACTGTCACCTGCCACTGCCGAAGAATTTTCAGACACGGGGCAACATAAGCCGGGAGCTTGCCCATGTCGGACTCTCAGACTTTTCACTGGGCCGCCATCTTCCCAGCAATGCAGAAAAGGCCTAAACCAAGACTGAAAAATACCCACCCATCCCGGCGGGGGTCTCTGCTAACATATTACTAAGATTGTACTTTAAAAAGAGCAAAGAAAAGAAAACTATCGGGTTGACCATTCCTAGGCCACCCTCCCGCCTGGACAGGTAAGTTACATTGCGTTTGATCAGGTTCAGCCTATTTCCCCATAACAGTTGGAAAAAACAGCTGTAGACCCTTGCATAGAGAGATACCGGCAAGATACAGACGAAGCTGACATATAAAAAGATCGGGATCAGGTAAGTTTTGATCAAGTCAACCCTCTCTCTCAAGGAAAGCCTCCATCTCTTCCAGCTTGCTACTTTGGCATTGGCAACTACCAACCTGCTTTCCCAGTTTCGATGACCATAGTCACCAGGACCAAATTTGATGCCCAAAACTTTAATTTCCTGCTGGGGCTCTGGGAAGGCATCCGGAAGTTCGAAGCTTTCACCCTCCTCACACATCCAGAAAACTTCATTCTTTTCATGGTTGACTTTAGAGCCAGAAGCCTCCGTGTACTGCTCTATCACAGAGACCACCTCCTGCACCTCCTCAGTCCCAGAGATAACAACAGACACATCATCAGCATAGGCCACGACCTTCAAAGGTGGTGCACCAGCAATGCCCAGAGGCACTCCGCACAATAATGCACCCTCTAGCCTTCTTACAAAGGGGTCGATTGCGAAAGCATATAGCAGGGGGCTCAAAGGACATCCCTGACGCACACCAGAGCCAACCTCAAAAGGCCGTCCAACCCAACCATTAACAAGTGGGAAGCTCTCAGCCCCTCTATATAATGTCTTCAGCCAATCTATAAACCTCCCCTGCAGGCTGTATCTATCAAGTAGCAACCACAGATATTCACTTGATCAAAAGTTTTTGCCTGATCCAACACCAGCAAATACTTTCTCCATCCAGCAGCTCTGCATCGTTCCAAAGCCTCCCGGATAGCCAAAACTGCTGAAAAGGTTCTTCTACCTCGGAACGAACAGTGCTGATGGCTGGACATCAAATCGCCTGCTATTGACGACAAGCGCCAAAAAAGAATCTTTGCCAAGATCTTTCTATCAACATTGAGAAGACTGATGGGGCGCCAGTTCTCAATCATTGAGGGGTCTTTACCTTTTGACAGAAGAATCACAGCGGATTGCTTCATGGAGGGAGAACCCTCTTCTAGACAGCTGTTAAAAAGGGAGCCAGAAAGGACTAAAAAACACTTGTAAAATTCAGCTGAATTTGGTTCTGTCAAATTCATCAAAAGCAATGTATCATTTCCCAATCCTGAAGCAGAATCTAGGAAGCTTTCCATCCTGTCCCGGCTAAGGTCCTTTCTTCCCAGGAGGTCTGCATAATATGACCTGAAGATCTCCAAGATCCCTGATCTGGACTTCACCAGGGAACCCGTACTGTCTTTCAGGCCAGTGACCATCTTATCTGCTAGGCCTTGCTTACAGTTCTGGTAAGGATCAGGAGAGTGATATTTCCCATAATCCTTCTCCAGAACCAAGGAGGCATGCTGGTCGTATTGACACCTCCTAAGAAGATGCTTCAGTTCAGAGATCTCCCCTGCATCTCATCCATACAAGACAAGATGATCACGCTTCTTCCGCAAATGCTGGTAGGCAATATCCATACCAAGCTGCTTTTTCTTACTTATGGTCTTAACAAGTCCGATCCCCCTTTGTTTCACAAGCTCCCACCACTCTGACTTACTGCTGCAAAAGTCCAGAATAGAAACCTGTGCCTGAAAAAAATCCTCAAGATTGTCTTACCTCTACATCTTCCAGGAGAGTCAAATTCAGTTTCCAGACACCCCTTCCCCTGGGTGGAGTGTCCGAGATGTTCAGAGTCACAGACAGCATACAGTGGTCAGAGAACTCCACCGCCCTCAACTCCGGAGCCGAGAAAGCAGAGTTCTCCTTTAAAAAAAACCTGTCTATCCTGCTCTGACTATTCCCTCTCTGAAATGTGAAGCCCATGCTGCCAGGGCAGTGCTTAACCCCTCACCTACAGGGCACTTATACCCCCTTCCTGCCCAGGCCTATTTTCAGCTTTCAGCGCTGTCGCGCTTTGAATGACAATAGCGCGGTCATGCAACATTGCACCCATATGAAATTTTTCTCACACATTTTGGTGGCATTTAATCGCCACTGGGTGTTTTATTTTTTGCGCTATAAACAAAAAAAGGGCAAAAAAAAAAAAAAAAAAAGGTTTTCTTTGTTTCCGTTATAAAATTTTGCAAACCGGTAATTTTTCTCCTTCACTAATGGGCATTGATGAGGTGGCACGGATAGGCAGCATTGATAGGAAGCACTGATAGGCAGCACTGATCGGCACTTATAGGCACCACTGATTAGGTGGCACGGATAGGCAGCACTGATCGGCACTTATAGGCACCACTGATGGGCACTGATAGGCAGCACTGATCGGCACTTATAGGCACCACTGATGGGCACTGATAGGCAGCACTGATGGGCACTGATAGGCAGCACTGATGGGAGCTTATAGGCGGCATTGATTAGATGGCTCGGATAGGCAACACTGATGGGCACTGATAGGCAGCACTAATGAGCTGGCACTGATGAGGCAGCACTGATATGCAGCAATGATGGGCACTGATAGGTGGCACTGCTGGGCAATGATGGGCAGCACTGCTGGGCAATGATGGGCGGCACTGCTGGGCAATGATGGGTGGCACTGCTGGGCACTTGTGGGTGGCACTGCTAGGCACTCATGGGCACAGGTGGGTGGCACCGATGGGCACAGGTGGATGGCACTGTTTTCTGACAATTGCCGGTTAGTGATAGTACTTACCTCACGCATTCACAGCGTGAGGAAAGTGCAGCCGATAACCGGCAACTGCATTTACCCGGTGATCTGCTGTGTCATTGGACACGGCTGATCACGTGGTAAAAGGCCGCTGTGATTGGCCTTTTACCAACACATGTGATCAGCTGTGTCCGTAGGGTACAGCGATCATGGAGATCATCGGGCACTTGCCGCTGGGGGGCGCACGGTATGGCACGTTCTGGGAGGACATCATATGACGCCCTCCCAAAATTGGATAACCGCACTGTAGCCGTCATTTGGCTATAGCGCGGTTGCCAAGTGGTTAAGTGCCAAGTGGTTAATGTGCATATTTGCCAGGCCTGCCTCTGAGATATCTCTGAGAAAAAATGCTATCATAACCCAGCCTGTCTATGGAGCCTCTCCTGTCTTCAGGTCTAATTATGGTGTTAAAGTCACCTCCAAAGACAACTTAATGGGATGTAAAAAGAAAGGGCTTGATCTTTGTGAGGAGGCATTTCCTGCCCCATTTTGACTGTGGTCCATAGATATTGATCAGGCACAGGTCCTGCCCCCTAACAAAGACATCTAAGACCATGCATCTCCCCATTTCTACCTAAAATACCCTTTGGCATGTTACCATATTGGTTTTAAAAAAAGCACCTCAACTCCGCTGCAAGGCGCAGCTGCAAGAGACCAAAAGAAGGGACCACATCTCCACTCCCTTTTTGCTAGATAGACATCGGCCAATGTATTGAGCCATTTCTCTTGAAAAAATAAAATCTCAGCATCAAACGCGCTGAGCAATAATAAGGCCGTATCACGAGCTCTTGCAGATTTAATGCTGGTGACATTAATGGTTGCCACCTTTAACGGAGTGGGAACTGCCATCAGGATGATTGGGGTAGTCGTTTCTTAACCTCTACCACACTCTCATCACCCGAAACAGCTCTCTTCAG